AAAAGTACCATAAAAGTCCTTAGGCTTTAAACGCAACACATGATAAATAAATATGATACCAGAAGTATTTGCCGGGATGTATGTTTCGTTCTTAAAATGATGTTTATCAGCTCTTAAAGCTTTCTGGGTCCTATCATCTTTTCCAACCTTCGCTCTATTGTGACGTCACCCGCCTCGATAGCTGCGGCCCGAGCGTGGCTCGCGCCCGTGGGCCCCCCCCTCTGTCCCACCGTGGCGTCCGTCCGCGAGACAAAAGCACGCGCTGCGACAGCCTAAATTGGTTTGAAAAGAAGCAGATGGGGCTCGCGCTCTCTGCTGCCTCGCTTCCGCACACACACAAGAGCCACGCGCAGATTTAAAGCTTAAACTGACCCTGTCATGTTTCTCAAGATGAATAAATTACAGCCTGCCTCCAAAACAGCGTTTTAACCAGACTCACAGTCGCTTAGACAGTCACATTTAGGGGTTCAAAAACAAGTTGGAGCAAATACTTTTCCCCTCAACTTTTAGTGTTTTTGTGACTTTCAGCTTTTATAAATAATCTAGCTGAGAGGAGTTTCCTCCTTGAGCGTCTACAACATTTAGAAAAGGAAGTTCTGACACCCTTAAATTAATGGCTGGCACTGAAGTATAGCTCACTGTCTATAACAGATGTTGATCAGCTCTTTTAAGTCTTACCAAATTACTCACAAAATTGAACTCAAAATTTGAGGCAGATTAAAGTAACAGTGCCGACAGCGGCTTTGTGAAGAAATCCTGGAGTTTTTATGTAGGACTCACAGACTGTGCCACTGAAGTAGAGTTACATTAGCCTTACCTGCTGCTTCAGTGCATCCCTGCTTGTTTTTGGGCTTATGGTTATAATTTATATCACCTTTAGTCTGAATACAAACAGGCCTATATGCCTCAGTAACAGTAGGCTTCATGCAAAGTTATTCTAACCTCATCCCTTTGGAGAAAATACAATTCATGTGTGTGTATCAAAGAAACAGTTAAAACCTTTAACCAGTGACCATGCAATGGTCCGATCCACTGCTTACCAACAATCCTCATACAGTTCAAACTACACTCCAAACTAAATCTAAACTACAGGCCCCAACACAAATACACCTATGTTTGACATGCAGCCATTGCAGGCGGTGCGTGTTTTGTTCCTCCATCCCAGACGTGAAACGTGGGCCGAGAAGAATTTGTCCTGAAAACAACTTCATTAAGTTGTTTTAATTAACAAGGACAAACAGTATTTGGGACACCACTTCACTGCATCCGCTCACAGAGTTAAATGAGATCCTCTCTCGCATCCTTCAGCCATTTGCTGATGACTATGAGGCAGCTAATATCTGGGTTATAGACTTCATATTTAGGTCTGCGCCTTCATATCTGTAATTTGCCTGCATATTTTTAGTGGAAGAAGTAATTGAGCAGCAGGAGCAACATGCCTGGTTTAAGAGCTTGGAGCAGGGGTGCAGCTAGGAATTCCTGGGTCCCTCACTCAAGAGAATACTGATCTGGACCCCCCTATTTTGTTGAACGAACTAATCTTACATTGCAGTTTTTGAGGGCCTTTTCCTGTGTTTTATAGCACTGGGTTCTAGCTGGGAGCTCCTCCGACCCTCGATTCCAACAGATGATATAGGCTACAGTTTGCTTCCTGCTGCCTTTTTATCTCCTGGGAACAACCTGCACATGCATGGAGAGTCGTATTTCCAAAAGCCTTCTCAGCATTGGATGTGGGAATCAGCTGCCTGTCTGTCTGCTGTCTCAGCCTTTATGTTTTTTTCTTGCTTTCTTCAGCCCCTATGGTCAGGCTAATGTTTTACTCCACACTGTGTCTGTGTTTAAAAGCCACATTTCGGATGCTCTGTTGGCTGTGTCTGCTGCCAGCATCGCTTTTAACATCAGTTTGTTGGTGATTAATATGCAACTAAGGGGTTGTTTATCAAAAGTCACACTCATTTGTTGTTTATAGGGTTTTCCAAATTGTTAAATGTCACCCCCCCCCACCCCCCCATCCCCCAAGCTCGTGCAGTACACCAGCAGACACCCATCTGTAGTTATGTTGTAGAGCTGTGTGCAGTGTCAAATTCATTTCAAATTGATATTCATTAAGTCCCTAATATAGTGAGTAAATTAGCTAAAAATCATGCTAATATTAAGTCATGTTGGGGTCTGTAGTCAGGCAGGAAGAGTTTCATCCTCTGAGACTTCAGGGAGTTCATTTCATGCACGCGCGAATGTGTATGCGTATAGTCCACGTTCGTGCGTCCGTCCGCGCTGTTAGTTTGACTTTTCCAGCGTTTGTGTAGCAGTTAGCAAGACGTCATTTAGGCTGTTCAGTCGGACGGGGCAGCACAGCGCGTGAATTAGAGGAGGAATAAAGTGTGCGCGTGTGGGTGTGTGAAGGTGTCTGTGTGTCCTGGATGGTGGGCTGAGCTCGCGCTACACGCCAATCAAATGCGAGGCAGGTGCGCGGTCGAGAGAGAGAGAGAGAGGGAGACGGATTACGGCGCGTGGTGTCTCTGAAAAGCGAATAAAGCCGGCGCGAGTGTCGCAGTTTACTCACATCTCACGAGCAGCTCAGTAGACAGTTGGAGACAAAGTCGGTACCGGTTCCATGTGTTTCCCGGATAGAACTCGGTGAACTCGGTTAGTTTGCGTGATAAAAATGAGTTTTTTAGAGCTGTGCGGGATAAATCGATTTCTCTCGTGACGGGGATATTTTTTGACGCTGTGACCGTTTTGGGATTATTCTCGGAAGTCTGAGGTAAAGACTGCTTGAGTGTTTGTGCTGTAAAGTTGGCTCAAATGTTGGTTAAAAAGAATGTTGCCTACCTACTGAACGAAACTGTGTGGGACAGAAAGCAAACTTCAAAAATCATTTAAAGAAGAAAATGCGTGAACAAATATGTGAATAGTTCAAATTCCGTTGCATTAACCGTAATTTAGAATTACTGTAGTAGTGTATTCTTCTTCTTCTTCTTCT